TACCAAGTTGAGCTTCACACACGGGCCTGACAGCGGGCTGCAGCTGTGCAAGTCGCTGCTGCTGCTGGTGCACTGGCTGCTTCTCAACATCCTCAAGTGTCTGCAGAAGCTGCAGGAAGGCAAGCAGCATCAGGAACTTGTCATCATCGAGAACGCCAGCAACGCTGTTCTCAAGATCCTGGAAAAGTCCACTGTTATAGCTCTGTTGCAGATCTCGAGGTCAGAGGTGACAGGTCAGTGTGTTGTTGGCTGTTATTTGAAATTTGTGTGATTTATCAACTATTTTAAAAAATATGGCAACTTACAAGACCTGAAGACAAAATCTATTTTGATTTTATGATAACCCACCAGTCAGGATTCAATCATGGACTTGTAGAATTATACTCATGGTGTCTATCTCTGTGTAAGTCCATGTTAAAGTATAAGGATTATGATAGGCATACTGTGTGGGGATTCCGGTTTAAAATTGGTCCCCAGGAACCTGTGTCGGTCGTAAGAGACAACTTAATGGATGGGGTGGTCAGGCTTGGTGACTTGGTCGATGGCGTGTCATCGTATACTGATGGCATGGATTGTTGCTTCCAATATCAATCACTTGATTGTCTGGACCAGACTCAATTATTTATAGGCCACTGTTGTATAGCTGGAATATTGCTGAGTGTGGGGTTAAACATAAAAAAAACACACACACACACTATGATAGTCATGAAGCTGTGATTGCTTTCTGCTCGTGAACTTGGTGTTTATCCTTTTGCCATAAAGCACTGTGTAGATGATGTTGTCTACTTGCAGATGTCTACCGGGAGTTTGAACAGACAGAGTTGAATGTGAGGGGCACTCTGAGTCAACTACAGCAGAGCGTCATCCCCAACTCCACCAGGGAGAAGGTGTCCGCAACCCTCGCTTCACTCTCCAGGTGGCGCTCTTTTCCCTCTCACGATTAGCGTTATAGAGTAGCTTCATGTTGATACTCAACCAGGGTAGAGTAGAGTATGAGTACCTCGTTGCTGTTGTACGAGTGGGGCGGTCTGGTAGCCTAGTGGTTAAAGCGTTAGCTCGTCACGCCGAAGACCCGGGTTCGATTCCCGACATGGGTACAATGTGTGAAGCCCATTTCTGGTGTCCCCCGCCGTGATATTGCTGGAATATTGCTAAAAGCGGCGTAAAACCTCACTCACTCACTCACTCACTGTTGTACGAGTTAGTAGTCAAGTTCGGTGACTGTGCTGTTTGCGTGTCATCATGCGCTGATGGCATGGATAGTTGCTCACATTACCAGTCACCTGTTTGCCTTGTCCCTTGTCTATAGGTCACCATGGTATCACTGGAATATTGCTGACTGCATTAATAACTCTCACTCCCTCATATTGATGCAAGGTTGATCTGAGTAGCCTTATGGTCAAGTGTTAGCCAGTCATGCCAAAGACCTGGGTTTGATTCCCCAAGTATGCAATGTGCAGGGATTTATCCTGGATTACAAACAAAGTGCCCTAAGGCTGGCAAATTGGGAAAACATTGTCAATGTCTGACCCTTGTTACAGGTTGCAGGAAGCCCCCCTGTCCAGTGAGCCGGTGTTGCGGGTACCCCACCTACCTATCTGCCCCACCCTCAATGCCCTGGTGTCCCTAGAGGCGGTGCTCAACTCCACCAATGAAGTACAGCCGTTTGTCGACCAGATCCTAGTCATCGCGAGACTCATGGTAACTATGCTATTCCTGAGTCAAATCTCCATAATCTTCTTCAGAATCACCCTTTGTTGGGATGGAGGATCTCATTGTTTGTAATGTCACTGATGTGCATCAACTCTTGATTTTGCAGAAACTGTCATGGCCGCAACTGCATCAGGAGATATTCCGTGCATGTTTTATGGGTCTCGTAGATTCACATGAAACACAGGAGGAACTCAAGTGGGCAGCGTTTACATTCCTCAAGGTGAGTCCCCAGTGTCTCCAGTAAGGTGGCCTGGGTTTTGGTGGGTAAGGTGGTAGTCCACAAGGAAGTGTCCCTAGTCCTGCTACAGAGTTGCCATCTACCTGATGGTGAAAGTGGTAGTCCACAAGCAAATGTCATTCGTCCTTTCATAATTTTGACCGCCTCCGTGGTCTAGTGCATAGGGCATTTGCCTGGGGAGAGAAAGGGCAGTTGTTGGAACCTCAGTCTTGACATACCAAAAGATGTTAAAAGATAGTACTTGTTGTTAACCTCCCCCTACCTTGGTGTTAAGGGGATGAAACAAGCATTGGTCAGCCTGAAGTCAGTATAATGTGTCTGACAGCTGGTGTCTGAGTGGAGTATCTGTGTTAAGCTGCAGTTTTCAAACCATCAGTAGTCCAGACTAGTACAAGCACACGCCGCGCCGCGCCACGCCACGCCACGCCACGCCACACCACACCATAGCTGACTGACTGCAGTGTAAGATGACTTCACTAACTCCCTCTCTCCCTCTCTCTATCCCACAGTTGCCACAGATCTTGGTCAAGATGCAGCTGCAGTCATCAGGCCGGGATTTCTCCGCGGAACTGGAGCAAGGTTTTGAGATGATCCTCAACTACATCCACCTCCTTGACCTCACAGATATCAAGCAGAAGTAAGTGTAACCTTCACCTTCAATCTCAATAAAATCAGTTCTTGCTACCGCTTAACAAAGATCTTAGGACATCCCATTGCGGGTCATGTCAGAACGACCTTTCATCTGACCAATCAGGGTGTCGCTTATCAGATCATGAAAGTGACAGTTGGAATGTGATTTCCAATTGTGCAACCTCGAAAAACACACACCGGGTAATCCGAACAACAGTTATGGGCTTAAGGACTATTCATACAATCTAGACCATCTATTAGCCATTCTAGAATTTTTTAATCAAGTTTGTCAAAATATGTTTTGAAGCGTAGTCGCCAGTTTGAAACTTGTGCCGTAAAGCTTGATTTAGCTGCCTCCTGATTGGTTTATGTTGACTTCTTGTCATTCTTTCCATTGGTCGGTCAAAGGTTGCAAAAGGTTGTTCTGACGTGACCCGTAATGGGATGTCCTCAGATCTTTGTTTAGCGGTAGTGAGAACTAAGATCTGATTTGAATGAGATTGCACTGTGGTGAGACCTTGACGTCATCTTGCATCTTGGTTAGGCCAGACATTTTTATGGCAGCCATATTGAAAAACCTATTTTTAATCATTACTCGCCCATTTTTATTTCATATGTAATGACATTTTTGTAGAAGCATAGATAGAAGTGGGACTCGACATATATGTTCTGTTTGTTGCAGTATTATTAATTGTTACCTTGATTTGACTGTTGCATTTTGAGCATGCTCTTAAATTCTCTCATCATGCGTATAAGTCTCTTTAAACTTCCCTGAATTGTTTTGTGTGATGATATCAGATTTTGTAAAAATGAGTAGGATTTCAGTGGTTATATTTGACCCGTGGTATTTATTAGAACATATTTGAATGTTAATACTGACAGCAACTTTCGTTACCTGGCTGTCTTTGTTGACAATTTAAACTGTTGACCACCTATCCAGCAGGTGAGCCGCAGTGGTCTGTGTCTGGTGATGAGAGTAATGTTATTGCCTCTGTCTGCTGCAGGTACGAGTGTCTAGGGCAGCTGCTGCACGAGTGTAACAGGTTTAGTCTGCTGTCTGACAACCAGAGGCAGCGTCTGCTAAATAGACGGTGAGCCCTTGTAACACAATCACCTCTTAGTCTTACCAGATACAAGAATTTAGTTTTTCTTAAGACTAGTCCAGAGTGTAAACCTAAAAAGTCCTAATCCATGGGGTTTGTGGCTAATCCTACTTGGATAAACAAAGATGTTTACTATGTTTACATTTTCTGTCAGTTTTATTCAGTTACGATTTGTAGCAAAACTCAAGCATTGAGAACTGGTTCAGAATTATAGCCCTCAAATATTACAAATCAATGAGGACTACCATCATTGGATTCTTGCTTGTTCCCAGCACAATTTAGTAGTCTCAGGATAGCAGACTAGCATTAATTTCAACCCCTCATAAGTACACCTATGTGACCTTTAACAGCTGGTATCCTCTGACCCCTATGTACACCTATGTGACCTATAAAAGCTGTTATCCACTGACCCCTATGTACACCAATGTGACCTATAAAAGGTGTTATCCTCTGACCCCTATGTACACCTATGTGACCTATAAAAGCCGTTATCCCCTGACCCATATGTACACCTATGTGACCTTTAAAAGCTGTTATCCCCTGACCCCTATGGACACCTATGTGACCTATAAAAGCTGTTATCCCCTGACCCCTATGTACACCTATGTGACCTATAAAAGCCGTTATCCCCTGACCCCTATGTACACCTATGTGACCTATAAAAGCCGTTATCCCCTGACCCCTATGTACACTAATGTGAAAAGTTGTTATCCCCTGACCCTTATGTACACCTATGTGACCTGTAAAAGCTGTTATCCTCTGACCCCTATGTACACCTATATGACCTGTAAAAGCTGTTATCCTCTAACCCCTACATACCCCTGTATGACCTATAAAAGCTGTTTTCCTCTAACCCCTACATACACCTATATGACCTGTAAAAGCTGTTATCCTCTAACCCCTACATACACCTGTATGACCTATAAAAGCTGTTTTCCTCTAACCCCTACATACACCTATATGACCTGTAAAAGCTGTTATCCTCTAACCCCTACATACACCTATATGACCTGTAAAGCTGTTATCCTCTTACCCCTACATACACCTATATGACACATAAAAGCTGTTATCCTCTAACCCCTACATACACCTATGTGACCTGTAAAACTGTTATCCTCTAACCCCTACATACACCTATATGACCTATAAAAGCTGTTATCCTCTAACCCCTCTAACCTCTGCTATTGTTCCTCTTTTTCAGCAACAGTGAGCGTGAGCACCGCATACCCGAGCAGTGTAGTTCGGGTAGCGGCACGGTGAGCTTAATAATGCGCGCCGAGATGACTGTGACGAGTATTCTGAAGGTAGAGGTAGTTCTTCCACTGTCGGACACACAGTGCTTTCTGGCTTCTTTACGTTTGCCTAGTCTCGTCTTCCTGTCGTTATTGTCGACATTTTTGTTGCCTCCACTATCATTTGGCTTCAAGCAATAACGTGAGGCTATGTGTAAGTACGGTAGAAAGTGCCCATGTCTGCTTCTCACCGGGGTCAGCTCCAGGGTGCTCCACTACAGACGATCAGCTGGGGATCAGTTCCAAGTTTAGCATGAAAGTCAAGGGGTCCTTACACTTAATAATTAAAGAGCCCTAGATTCAACTATAGAATCAAACTTCAAAGACAAGACCACCTGTTCTACACCAACATTAGCTACTTGCAAGTACTGAATAGATCTGTTCTAAACCAACATTAGGTACTTGCTAGTACTGAATAGATCTATTCTAAACCAACATTAGGTATTTGCTAGTACTGAATAGATCTGTTCTACACCAACTTGATTAGGTACTTGCTAGTACTGAATAGATCTGTTCTAAACCAACATTAGGTATTTGCTAGTACTGAATAGATCTATTCTAAACCAACATTAGGTACTTGCTAGTACTGAATAGATCTATTCTAAACCAACATTAGGTACTTGCTAGTACTGAATAGATCTATTCTACACCAACTTAATTAGGTACTTGCTAGTTCTAGGTACTTGCTAGTACTGAATAGATCTATTCTACACCAACATGATAAGGCATTGTAATTTTATAATAAAACAATGTTTGGGTCTCTTTATGAATATACACATAGAATTTGTGTATGTATACTACCCAAAGGAAGTTAAGGGCCACTTGATTCTTTCATATTAGAGTTAATCTGGCATGGTGGTCCTTAACTTCTTTTGGGTAGTATATATGTTAAACATGTGTTTTGAGAAATACTGTTATTTGGATTTGTTCATCAGGATTTGGGATTATTTGATATTGTGTTTTTTTTTTATTTAAATGGTTAACTTCTGCTTATGACAACTTGTTTTTAATGATTATTAACTGTTAGGTACATAAAAAATCACCGGTCTACGAAATGTTTTGAAATGAAGTGTTAGGTGTCAGATCTGCTTTGAAACATCACATACTTGTATCAGATCACATTCAGGCCTTCAAAAAAACCAAAAAGTAACATGTCATCAAGAATAGAAATGTGAATGTTATTTGAATATCAACTAGCAGGAATATGAGTAGATTTTGCACACTAGAACTATTCACTGGGTGGAGTGAGTGAGTTAGGTTTAACGCCGCTTTTAACAGTATTCCAGTTATATCGCGGCGTGTCAGCTTAATGTGGGAGGAAAGCCCCAAGTGATGCAGGTCTCAGACCTTTACCACTTCGGTGAAACCCACGAGCCTGGGTATGGTGCTGACAAACCTAGAAACATAATTGGGGCGAACCGGGATTCGAACCCACAATCATAAGTGAATTTATTCAGGAAAAAAAGTGTTGCTTTCTGGATCAATGTCGACTCATACTCAATCCAGTGAATTGTTTAGTGTGCAAAATAGATAACATTCACATTTGTATGGTTTTCGAACACACGTTACTTATTTTCTTTGGGAAGTCAGATTTTGTGCAAGGCAGCTATTCTCGCTCTATACTGTTCTACAAAATAGGATCTTGCGTGTAATTCAACTTTCACTGCTTACAAAGACCTGATCACAGCTGACACCCGTGGGCACCCTTTACAAGAGCACACACGACATATTTGGGTCATCTATAGCAGACCTGGGCACTTGCACTTTTGTCATGTGTCATCATGGCGCTGTGACATTGTCAGTGAACAGCTTGTGTGTCAGCTGATTGTCATGGGGGACTAGCGTCATGACATGCTCCCCGCATCTGGCACGTCTACTTCAACACCATCCTGGCAGAAGTAGTTCAAGAATTATTTTTGCAATCGGGGATGGAAAGAATTACCTTTGAGTTTTAGGGGTATTTTTGCCTTCATCCTAATTTTTTTACTCAACCTTGGTGGTGATTTCTGACTTAATGTAACTTATATTAGCTTGTCATCTTATTAATACTTGGTAACAGTTTTGTGTTCCATGTAGTTTAAGAGTAGATGTTGAAAATTAAGGATTTCTGAACTGAGTATATGGAAATGTAGCAAGTATATCTCTGAAATTGAAAATAATTACAATCCTAAAATAACCTTTTTTTTAAAAAAAAAAGAAAAAAGATTAAAATGTTCGATTCTGAGAAAAACATGAATTGTATCATGAAATATTTTCTGAGATTTTGAAAATAAGTCTTTGTTTTTAATATTTAATTTAAAAGGTAGTTTATGTTTGTTTGTTTGTGCTACTAATGCTGTTCGTTAGATATTTTTTGACAATAACAGGACATAAAAACCCCATAAGTAATTAAGCTTAATGTTAAGCTACATCTTAGAGTCTGTGAAATTTAACTTAATTATGTGAAAAGCAATAATGTGATTGTAACCACTTTGTTTTTACCTTTCACATTTCAAACTATATAAATAAATTCAAATTGAATAGTACATGTAAGGTCCGAGTAAGAATTGGTCTTCAGCAACCCATGCTTGTTGTAAGAGGCGATTTACTGGATCGGTTGGTCAGGCTCGCTAACTTTGTTAATGCATGTCATCGTATCCAAATTGCATAGATCAATGCTCATGATGTCTGTCACTGGATTGTCTGATCCAGGCTTGATTGTTTACAGACCACCTTCATATAGCTGGAATATTGCTGAGTGCGGCGTAAAACAACAAATAAAGAAAAAACTTGAAAAGAACATGCAAAATAAAACCTCAAATTATGAACATGAAGGAAGTTTGCACTAAATTTATCCTGGGACGTAGGTGCATTATGTCACAGAAAGAGATTTTAAGAGGGACTATTAAGAAAATGGAATATAGAGAAAAGTTGTAAAAATGAATGATAGTTTATGTCATTGCTCAGGCCCTCTTTAGTTTGTGTCTAGGTCGTCAAGCACCTGCCAGAATCTGGCCATGAAAGATGAAAAGTTTCTAAAACTTGTAAAAAGTTGACTCAAATGGGGATCTACTGGACAAAATGACTGGTAGCCTCGTGGATAAAGCTTTCACTCGTTACCTAGGTCCATATGGGTACAATGTTTGAGCCCAACTCTGGTGTCCCCTGTCATGATACATCTAGTTCGTTAGGCGATTTTGATTGGACTATGCATAGACTTGTTAGTCCAGCCAAAATGTAACTCCAGAATTCTAGCATAGTTCAGCAAGGGTGGAAACTGGTATTTTAAAGTGGTGGAAACTGGTCTTTTATAGTGGTGGAAACTGGACTTTTATGGTCAGTTAATGTGCTAACTCGGGAAGATCATCATGATATTGCCAAAATAAATTTAAAAGTTGTTGACCAGCACGATGTCTCGCCCAGACTGAATCGTAACCCTGATGTTGATGCATTTGGGTACTCAAAACCACACTCACTCTCTGCCTGGAGAGATTTTTAGCCGAGTATTTTGGCTTCGTAAAAATATATAAGGAATAAAATTGTATCATGCGAGCTATTATCTGTTTGCCATAACTTGTCATTCTTGAAATAACCCATGTATAATATTTCATTTCACTTACTGAAGTAACCTTAGAAAAGCGAGTTGCCCCAGTTTTGAATTTTTTTCCAAATAATGTTGCAGCCATGTCTGATCATGTATGTTGATCGATACAAACACACACATGATCAAGCCCCTATCTGAACTTATTGAACGTGAGGCAATAGTTAACTGAGCAAGTAGGAATCTCAGGTTGTATAGAGCTTATTAATAATAATCCCTGCTAGATGACCTCGGGAATGTACCTGATTAAACGCAGTTTTGGCTTTATTTTTGTGGTAAGAGAGTCGGTTTGAGACATTTCCGTTCCTACCTGGCAGTGTGTGTCTGAAATGTGATGTACAACTTGCAGTCATTGATTCTCACAGCCTGTTGCATGGTATGTTGCATGACATTATGCTCCAGTCCACGAAATTGCAAATCACTCGTTTTTTATGTCATTTTCAACACAGTCCCACTAAACAACTCGTGTCCTGAAATTGAAAATCACTTATTTGTCATATTCAACTCATGCCGATTTCGACAACTGATTTTTGTTAAATGTATGTGAAGCTCTGATAACGTTCTGTGCCTGAATATGTAGATTTATTGAGATGTTGCGGAAGGACCTTGACCTTTAGGTGTACAGAGGGAGATTAATGTCGGAAAAGTGGAATATGTGGGAGAAAATAATGGGTAAAAATATCTATGATGATTTACTAAGAATGAATTGTAGTTGAGATTTATGATATTTTGTATGAAATCTGAAATTAAGATGAATAATCTCATCAAAATCAGATTATTTTACTCTGGTACGATATATCTCTCTGTGATATATCTGACGACACCTTCTTGAGCCAATCAGCTGTCGGCTTTCTAAAGTGATACTTTTAGAACTTGTCATGTTAGATCATTTTTATAGATACAGAAATCAGATACGATGTATGGATGCTTTCCTTACCTGAATCATGAATTTGGAATCCTCAACGCTGATTGGCTGATTCAAAATTTCACCTTGACCTATGTAGGTGTCCTCAGATCCTCATACAGAGAGGTATCGTTTTGGCATAAAGGATCTGCTAAAATGATATAAACTCTGGCTGTCAGCCAGGATCTTGATCAAGTCTCACCATCCCTCAGTCAGCTTGTGTTATCGGTTCTATAATTCCAACAAGGATGTATTGGCTATATTATTAGGGCCGCGATATAACTGGAATAGTGTTAAAAGCGGCGTTAAACCCAACTCACTCACTCACTATATTATTAGGGTTTCACTAATACTTCAAAGATAAACAAATTTTTATTTGTTTTTTTTCTCCAACTGTAGGAATTTATCATTTTGATTAATAAATTTATGGATAACTTCTGGGCAGTCCCAATGACATGGACCGCTGCTAATCACTGGTTTGCTTTGTCCCGAATTGATTATTTTCATTATATTTCATAATTATATGGATTATTATTTGAAATATAGCTGACTGCAGCTTTAAAGGACATTCTCTTACTTACACGGTTCCCCCGTAGGGATTACAGGTTAGAACTGATCCCCACGAGCCTGTGCTGGTTTAAAGAGGTGGCTTATGTATGAAATGGTCAGACTCAGTGACTTGGCTGATTGCGTGTCATCGTACCCCAATGGTGTGGATCGATGCTGACAATATCAATCACTGGATTGTCTCTCCCAGACACAATTAATCACATGCAGATTTCATTAAGCTGAAAAGTTGCTGAGAGCGGCATTATAAAACATTCACTCACTCGGTTAAAAGGGTTGGAGAATTACAGCTAATTACAGCTATTAAGCTGAAATGAAGAAAACATGTCAAGAATGATTTGGCTAATATTGGCTTCTTGTTGACATGTCTGTAATTTTTTCTGGTTTTGTCAGATTTTATGAAGTCATAGATTAAAACAATACAGGACAATGTTGAGATTCAAGCCTGCAGATATATTTAACTGTGACATGCAGCTCTTTATATATATATAGCTAGTTATTGGTTGTACCATGAAGTCAAAGTTGACTCAAGACTTGTGAACAATAACCCTTGAATGGATTCTTCCAATTTTGTAAAGATCTTGACAATGTTCAACATGAAAAATATTTTCCATTCGCTGGACTATTTGATTTGCTTAATTAGCTAACAAAGCCATGCTTGATTATTAATCTGTTACCATAGTGATGCCTTGCCTTAACATTCAATGCGAAAACAATAGTTTTATCACATTAACTTCCTGCTTTTCATCACTGAT